AAAGAGAGTTCTAATGATTAGCAGATGGTAAAGAGAGAAAATAAGTGTAATAATATTTTACTTGGAATGATATTAGTATAAATTTTAATGACAGTAATGATAATGCAGATAGTTGGCAATTTTTTAATTTTGTTTTGTATATCTAAGTAAGTTACCCAAAGATACTATTGAACTGGCACTTTTTCATATAATTGAATGTTTATCTTTTGTATTTCTGTAATCTGTAATGAAAGGCATCAATACCATCCAGTGATAAACCAGTCCAAGCTTTCTGTCTTTGGCATGTAGGTGGCGGAGGTTTCTTAACCTTTGCTAAAGTGCTGATAGATGAGGAACAGGGATGTCTTTTAAATTCCATCTAATTTTTGTGTGTGTGTGTGTGTGTGTGTGTGTGTGTGTGTGTGTGTGTGTGTGTGTGTGTGTGTGTGTGTGTGTGTGTGTGTGTGTGTGTGTGTGATAACCACACATATATGTAATGCATATGCCTCTGTATATGTTTATGTATATGCATATATATGTGTGTGTGTGTGTGTGTGTGTGTGTGTGTATGTGTGTGTGTATGTGTGTATATCAATCAATTCATACATCATGAGTTTCTGAATGGTCTTTAGTATTTGTGATATCTTATATATAAATGTATATATATATATATATATATATATATATATATATATATATATATATATATATATATATATATATGTATATATATATGTATATATATATGTATATATATATGTATATATATATGTATATATATATGTATATATATATATATATATGTATATATATATATATATATATATATATATATATATATATATATATATATATATATATATATATATATATATATATATATATATATATATATATATATATATATATATATATATATATATGTACATATATATATATATATATATATATATATATATATATATATATATATATATATATATATATATATTTATATATATATATATATATATATATATATATATATATATATATATATATATATATATATGTACATATATATATATATATATATATATATATATATATATATATATATATATATATATATATATATATACACACATATATATGTGTGTGTGTGTGTGTGTGTGTGTGTGTGTGTGTGTGTGTGTGTGTGTGTGTGTGTGTGTGTGCTCATGTGTGTAAGATGTGAAGAAAAAGTGAATTAAAGAACAAAACAAGTAAACATTAATGGAGAAGTATATTTGCATATACAACACACAGCCATGTTTAAAAAGACAGCAAAGCAGAAAACACCTAAAACAGAGTAATACCAAACAAAGTTCTTTACCAAATTATTTTTGTCCAGATGGCATTGGAACTTAAGAACTGAGCTGTAATTCCACTTCTCATAAGTACAAGACATTATGTCATTTTGGCATGGAGTTGGCAAGCAGCAGGCGTAACTGTCACGACATTGGAATGCAAATCTTCACCCTCTTTGGACTCGATGCCAACTGATCCATCATGGTTTTGAATGTGACAGCACTTTACTTTTCTCATTAATCAAGAGGCATAGCTTGAAATATGCTTCACTGTTGCTGTTTTTATCATTGTCATGGAAACATCATCACCATCATCATCATTATTATCATCATCAAAAGATCATCATCTATCATCATTCATAATATTATTATTACTGTTGTAGTTGATTTCATCATGGTTTCTCTTATTGTTGTTGTGGCTATTATTGCAATTATTATTATTATCATCATCATCATCTTCATCTTCTTCATCTTCATCTTCATCTTCATCATCATCTTCATAATCTTCATCTTCATCTTCATCATCACTTCATCATCATCATCATCATCATCATCATCATCATCTTCATCATCATCATCTTCATCATCACATCATCACCACCTCACAGCACCATCAACTGTTATTATTATTGATATAATTACTATTGTTGTAATTATTATTATTATTATTACTATTACTATTATTATTATTATTATTATCATTATTGTTATAATTATAATTATCATTACTATCATCATCATCATTATCATACTCATCAACAACCAAACCATTGTTGTCACTCTTGTCACTTGTTCATAGTTGGTGCCAGGCACATTGACTGTCCAATGTGGTCGTGTATATTACTAGGCATACATGATCTTACCTGTCTGCTCTGTTTCTTGCATTTATTGGGAAATGTTTACACTTCTATGATTTTATTCTTGATAGCATGGTTATCATTATCATTTCCAATATTATTATGATATTCCCAACAATGATAATGGTAATGAAAATCAAACTTTTCTCTCTGTAGATTTAAAGACTGTGGTAAATAGTCATTGACTTTTATTACTTTTATTCTCTTTGGCATCATTGATTATGATGGTAGTCATTATCATATTCTTATTGTCTTTACTATTTTTATAAATAGAATAGTGAATTAATAAATAATACAATGTTGCAAAATTGAAAGATTAATTTTCATGATCATCATTATATAATATATTAATGTCATTTATCATCTTCATTGTCATAATCAATCCCCCCCCAATCCCTTGCTCATTGTTGCCGTGGGGGGGGGGGGGTTAGAGGTGGAGACTGAGGCCCAATTAAGGGCTCATCCCTGCCTTGGAGCTCAGCCCTCGTCTCGACCAATTTTGCAGAGCCTTTTCCTTTTCTCCTTTCCTTTTCCTTCTCTTCTGCATCCCCTTCTTCTGTCCACTTATCCATATTGTTAACTCATATTTGCCCTTTTTGGTAGAATACTTTATCATAATGCTGCGTGACCTTTGATGCCAGATGCAGTTGTTTATTTTGACCATCGACCATTTCTAGAAATCCACAAACCCAAACACTTTACCAGGGGTTTTTGCCCTCAAGTCCCACCCAATCGCAGTATTTTGTATATGCCGCTAATTACCTTTGAAAATATTCAGAAAAGAAATAAAGCATAATCAGTCTTGTTTTTTGTCAATATCATTGTCATCATTATCATAAAGTTTTTATTGCCACTTATAATTATCTTTAATTTCATCTTCATTTTTATCATCATTGTCATCATCATCATCAATAAGATCATTATTATCATCATCAATAAAATCATTATCATCATCATCAATAAATCATTATCATAAGTATTGTCTCTAACAGTATTATCATTGTCATTTTTTCATCATCAGCTATATTCATAACTTGTTTCCAGCGCTCACTGCATAATAATCATCATCATCACCATTATTATCACCATCATTATCATTTTTTTCTTCTTTTTAATCCTTTTCTTTTTCTTTATTGTTATCATTATCTTTTTGTTACTATTATTTTTATTAATATCATCATCATCATTATTATCATCACATCATCATCATCATTATTAGCTATGTTGAATTGGTTCCATCCTTCCCCACAGGTCAGGCGTGCGCCTGAAGAGCATGTCTGGCGGGCATGGGGCGCTGCAGATGGTGATCTCACAGCTGGGTGAGGTCCGGTCTTCACTCAAGGCATTCACTCAAGCACAAGCAACAGCCTCTGAAGACACAATGCGATGGGCAGCAGCACATGAGAACAGGGCCATTGCCGAAACATTCAGCCACCTTGCCGAGCTGTCTCTGGTGTGGACGGATGTGCAGAGGGATTTTACAGGTTTGTCCTTTTTTTTTTTTTTTTTTTTTTTTTCTTTCTTTCTTTCTTTCTTCTTTCTTTCTTCTTTCTTTCTTTTCTTTCTTTCCTTCTTTTTTTTCTTTTCTTTTCTTCATATCTTGTTTTCTTTTCTTTTTTTTGTTTATTCTTTTTTCTTTTTCTTTTTTTTTCTTTTTTTCTTTATTCTTTTTTTTTCTTTCTTTTTCTTTTCTTTTTTTCTTTTTTTCTTTGGGGAGTGGTCTTTCTTGTTGGTTTACATATCTATTGATTAATAGTTACATTTCTATCTTTTTCTTTCTTTCTTATGTGGCAAGATAGGGTTTTGTTTATGGATGGTGTTATTCTTAGAAATATCATTATCTTATTATACTGATACTGATAATTACAATTTTTTTTTCTTTCTCTCTTTCTTTGTAATGGTTAGTTTTATAATTTATTTAATCTTACAGTCGGCTCTGTTATGTTTGGTTATGTTATTTAATTTCAAGCCAGGCACTTTCCAATTTTCTTTACATGATCACATTTTTCCTATAGGTTCAGTAATTTGCACCTAATTTCTAATTTCTCTGACTTCCTTCCACGCCCAGAACGCCTGAAGGAGTACCGATCCCAGTACGAGCTCATCCTGGAAGGGGAGAAGCATGTAACACTCGCCAGAGAGACCTTGGCCAGCCGGGAACAGCGAGAGGCCAAACTTCGCAAGGAACTGAAGAAGGCAGGCAAGAAGGTGAGGTTTATTTTTTCTGCTTCCTTTTCTCTAGATTCTATCTCTCTGTCTTTTAGATGTAGTGATACGTAGGTATGCAAATTTATAAATGGAGATAATGACATGTCAGTGGATGTGAATATGTAAATATATGTACATTAGTATGAATATATATAGATAGAGAGATAGATAGACGGATATAGATATAGATAGACACACACACACACACACACACACACACACACACACACACACACACACACACACACACACACACACACACACACACACACACACACACACATAAATAATCATAGATATATAAATGTATATATCGTAATGATTCTGTCTTTTGTGAAAATATTCATAATTCTTAGATATTCTCCCTGTTATACAACCAGTTTATATCCATCACAAACTTTTACTTTGAAGAGATTATGATATGCCACTGACCACCTCTAATACCTATTATTTTTCTTCAAAACAAACTACTGCTGCTTACAAATTGCAAAAGGCCCACTAATGAGTATTATGGACTTATATTGATGACACTTAGTCTATATTGATGGTTTTACAGGCTCCAGCAGAGGAAATTCGGCTGTTGAGAGAAAAGCTGAGTCAGGCTGAGAGATCAAGGGATCTTTCACATCTGGAAGGTAGGTTTTCCTCCATAGTTGGATAAGAGTTTGATTTTTTTTTACTCATTTGCAAGTAACTGAGTGTATTGTTAATAAATGATTAATTCATTTTCTCAGTGTCAAAAACTTAAATCTGAGGCTAAAAGAATAGTTGTGGCATATGGCATAATTCGTTGTTGTTTTTTGCGGCATAGAGATATAATTTATAGATTGATAATCAATAGGACAGACAGTAAATGGCAGGAAATATATTCATTCTCTCTCTCTCTCTCTCTCTCTCTCTCTCTCTCTCTCTCTCTCTCTCTCTCTCTCTCTCTCTCTCTCTCTCTCTCTCTCAATGTCCCGCAGTGGTGGAGCGTGTGGCAGAGAATGAGGCAGTGAAGATGATCCGGGTGAAGGAGGGTTTGCTCAAGGTAGGAGCAGCATACTGTGAACTCGCACAAAAATGTCTAATGATCTTCACTGCACATATGAATGTTGCATCAGAGTTGCCAGATGTGCATGACCGAGATCTCCATGATGTTAAATATACAGGTACAATTTGGGTTCTGCATTGTGTCTCCCCCATATTGAACATTTTATACTTTGCTTTTATTCATAAATTATGAGTGGTCTTTTTGTGTGATCTTTTTGATTGTTGTGAGGAGTTTGTGGCAATGAATTACTTTTAGCTGATACATGTATAATATTTGCAGGTGCAGGAGCTGCCAAAAAGTTTGTTCAGCAAGCCAAAGAACAGGTCCGTTTATACAGGCAGGACAGTCTCTCTCACAAACCTCCTTTGCCAGAGGACCCTCCACCTCCATATACCCCTTCTGTGGAACACTTGAATGACCTTTCTGCCATCACTAACGGAACAAATGACTCTTCTGGATACAATTTGAACAATTCGTCGCTGAACCCATCTGCCCCTCGAGCCTCCATTTCATCTCTGAGTCCTCCCAAGCCGGAGCCCCGGAGCGGCGGTCATGGCAAAAGGACCCAACCCACAGGACCAGGTGCCTCCAATGCCAACTTTGACCCTCCCCCACACTATCCTCCTCCAGGCCCTGTGTACCCTGACCTCCAAGACTTCCCTGCAATTGACATCCCTAGCTCTCCCTCCCATATAAATCCTCAGCCACCCACTGCACCAGTTCATCCCACTTCTCCACACTCGACCAGTGCTCCGAACTTGGCCAATGATACCCCGACACACCACGGAGTCAAGTACCCTCCCCTCAATGTTGGTGACAACTCAAGTTATAATGACACTTGCTACCAACCCGACACATCATCATCGAGCCCAAACCTCTCCTCCCATCGACATACAAGCATGACCAGCCCAGAGAACTCTAATCCTTTCAACCCCTACTATGACTGGCTGCCAGACAGGAATGGAAAGAAGAAAAGGGAAGATGAGGAGACTCCGGGCTTCGAAACATCTACTCCTCGAAGCACAAGTAATGTTGAGGAGGGGCAAGAGAACCAAGAGTCCAGGCCTAATCCTCCATCAGTTCGGCCAAGAACAGGTAGAAACCCTTTCCTTGAAGATTACTCTGATGATGAGGATAATAATGACTGTGACCAGGGAGAGGAGAGTTTATCGGGTGCCTTAAGAAAGTCATCTATTAGATAAGTCTGGAGTATATGTCACTGGAGAAATAGACATACTTTAGATAACTGAAAACATGAACCTGAATAGATGAATTAGATTATGAAAAATCCAGTAGTGTCAGTATGAATAAAAGTGATAGGGAAGGAATTCCCCACTTCGTTTGTCTTTATTTGTGATAAACTCATTAATTCAGATAATAACTTCTTTTGGTTATGTATACAATACATTTAAACTATCCATTTTGTACAAGTCAAAGAACGATATACACAGTTGTTCTACTGCACAATATGAATATGTATTCAGATCTGAAATAATGACTTCTTATTTGAACAAGAAGTCATGATATTTACAGTGTTTAAAAGTGTCTTACAAATAACAGATGTACATTGCAGTTTTAATGTATCTCTTGCTATTTGTGCATAGAAGCCAGCTATTGCCAAGTATCACAATAAACAAATTGATGATTGACTTTAGGATAAGGAAAGTAAATACAGTGGTATGAACACATAATGTACAATAAATAGGGCATTGGGTATTGCCCTGTTTTTTCAACAGTGCACAAATCTAGAGCACAATAGGTAATCCGTTGAGCACATTATTCCGTTGTATGATCCAGCATTATCTAATCCAGAATAAAAAGCTTTTAAAGTTGCTTTTACGGGCATAGATAGACATTCACTGCCATGTAATTTCTATGATAAACAATGCCCAGTGGCTGCTGACTCTGCTACTTAGCTATGCATTGATCTCCACTCTCAGGTACAAGATTTTGTCATCCCTGGCATGTCAGGTCCTGTAGCTGTAGGAATTGACCCCCCCCCCCTCCAGGTGCTACTGTGTCTCAAGTCATTAATTTTGTACCTGTTGTCTAATGACTTGCTGATCTCTGTTTTAATTTTCTTAATGAATGATAA